TTTGCTATCATATTAAACGTATCCCTCTATTAAACAAGTCACATTTCACCAATAAAAAGTTTTACAGCACACACATTGTTGAAATTTATTACTAGGTAACATTACATGAGAGAGACTTTTCAAAGTATAGATGTGTGTACAATGCTACTATTCCTTGAGATACGGTGGTCCAAGAAAATTCTTAAACCACTTTGCTGAGAGCTTGGGATATCGCTTCAACCCATTTTTTCTGTCAACAAAGTTTAGTCCAAATCCTACTAAATAGCCATCTACCCATTCAAAGTCGTCCAAGAATGACCATGCAAAATATCCTTTTACATTTACTCCCTCCCTTGTAAATTCAATAAAAGAAATTTAAATTAGACTTTAAAATATACTTCTTAAAATATGTGAAAAATAAATCATTACCTTATTGCTGAAAGTAGATAATAGAGATGACGATAATAATAATCGATTCTATAAATATCTATAAGAGCTTCCTCAAGTGTCTGTTTTTCATCATAGACGTCATTTCCTCTACCTATAAATTAAAAGGAGTATACATCAACGTCTTAAAAGAAAAACTTATATTGAAGTTTGACATTTTAAATAATTTCGTCAAAATATTTTTTTTAAACTAGATAATAAAAGTTTTTTTTTGGTATAATTACCATTTTCAGTTATATAAATCAAAGGATCGTTGTACTTTTCTTTGGTATAGAGCAACAACTCTCTAATTCCTTTGGGATAAACATATAACCAACCAGAAGCCGTCTGCAAATATACATAAGTTATATAAAACCAAAGAAAATAATACGAATAATAATAATAATAACATGAACTTAAAACTTGACATAATTGTAGACATACTGGTGCACCTATCGGAATACCATTGCGTTCAGCTACAACGAAAACAAAAGCAAAATGTCATAACAAATTCAACATATATATATATATATATATATATATATATATATATATATATAAATAAGTTAAATAATTGATAGATAGAGGTTTTCTCACTTAAATATGTGACATGGGGATCTGTAATGGAGTTAGGTTCGGATTTGCTTCCAAGTGGTTGGAGTAGGGGTTGATGAGCAACATAGTTAGTGGTGTAATAGTTTATTCCAATAAAATCAAATGAACCAATAAGAAATCTTGCTTCTTGTTTTGAGAATTCTGGTAATCGATTACCAACTAGAGAACGCATGCTCTCGGGATACTTTCCTGATGTCAATGGTTGCATGTACCTATAGTATATTCATTGTTACATATCAAAAAATCGCATTTGAGAATGCATATTCTTATGCAGAGTTAAGCACTTACCACCCAAACATGAAGTCAAGTGCACGTTCGGCAGCCTCTTTATCAAATTTGTCATCTGAATATGGCTCATACCACTGAGTATTAAGTGTTATGCCTATCATTCCTTTTTGATGTTCCTGTATAAAGTATTTTGAATGTTAATTTAAGTAAAAGAACTACCACAGCAGCAATTTAAAAGTTCTGATAAAAAAAGAACCTTGAACCGATTCCTGTACACATCCACAGCAGCTGCGTGAGCATGTAGTAGATTATGTGAAACTATATATGGTTCTGTTCCTGAATTACCACCGAGACAAGTTGAATCTACCGTTTCAGAGCATCGACCTGGTGCATTCATCCCAAGAGCATAACCATGAATACTGTAAACATATGGCTCATTTAGAGTAATCCAATGTTTCACCCTGTCTCCAAAATATTTGAAGCAAACTTCTGCATAGTCTCGGAAATCACCTCTGGAAGATCAATAATTCAACAAAAATCAATTTTTAAATTGACAAGTCTATTTTTTCTGTTTATTATAAATTTAAATTAATATTTATCTGTTTTATATTTTGAAAGAATTAGAATAATAATACGATTTTAAATAATATTTCATTTATGACAATACACGTGTTTTTTTTTTTGTTTTTCACATTGATGCACATAAAAATTCATATATAAAAAAGTATTAATACGAAATCTCTTTGAACAAAAGTTTAACCACAAATGTTAATAACACTTATTTGTAATACTTTACCTAAATGCATTGTAACTCTTTTAATAAGGGTAGTTTTGTTCTAAAAGAATGTGATCATAATTTATGTATTTTCTTAAAAAGATGACATTATCTCAAAGAACAAATTATATAAACACATAATATATATATATTATTCTACTAAAAGGATTTATCCCATATTCATACGCATACATGAAAGAATTTTTGTACTTACACAATATGAGGAGATAAGAAACCTTTATACTCTTCTTCTAAAGCTTGAGGAAGATCCCAATGAAAAAGTGTGACATATGGTTTTAGACCTGCAACATTAATATTTAAATGATTATGTCATTTACTTAGAAAAGTATATTATAAAATGCAAATTTTAATGAAGAAAAACCAGGAGACGAAAGCATGGATATTGACCATTGGCTATCAGATGATCGATGAGGCTATTTGTAATAAAATCGATTCCTTCTTTTGTTTATACCTCCACTCAGCTTTCCCTCTGTATATCAACCATTTTCAACAAAGATTGAAAACATTAACCCTAAAGATCGAACAACAATAATCACAAAAATACTAATTTAATATCATAACTTTGTCTCATTGGTAGGATTCCTAGTCCAAGAGATGGAAGAATCTTTATGCATCCATATTCATATCCTTCATTCATCTTATATCTATCCTGTTATATAACACAGAATCCAAAAAAACTTAAAACTAGAGACAAAGATTCATCACTGCTTCTTCATGAATCTTTGCTGTTATCGTTAAGATTCGAATCTACACTCTATGCGATGAATCATTGGTCAAACGGCTACCTCTCCATTACTTTTATCCCTTCTCTTCTCTGCAGGTATTACACAACTATAAATCAGACATTTACTATTTGGGTTATTTAGTTTCAATATCTATAATATAATAATCATAACTTTTGAAAACATAGACACAAATTTTTTTAAATTAAAAAAAAATAATTTAAAAGGCTGTTTTATAATTATTCATAATAAAAAGGTAGGAACAAGACCTGGAATCTGTGGGGGAATTACATCCCATATACTTGGTTTTCTTCCACCTTCAAACGCCGCTCCTTCGAACTATAGGTATATATCAAGAACATAACAAATCGTATGAAGTTGAAATCTCAAAGTTTCTCATAAAAGAATAAGAAAGAGATATTATGAGGAATAACCTGGGTAGGCCGCGGATGCTGTAACCGAAACAAGTCAGGCGGAAAACTGTTTCGATTGAGAGAAAGAGCTTCGACAACCGATGAAGGATATTCCTTAGAATTAATTGCTGATAATGTGCTAACTGCTGCAGGATCCAACCAGAATCAAACTCTGTATACAATACAATGGCCATGTTTTCAGGTCATTATCATTCCATGCTTAATGCAGGTAGTTGATTCAGTACAATAACTAGGGTTTCAACTCGGACGTGAAAATAGCACATGCAAATGATGGAATTGATGATGAGGGGTATAATAACCACATTCCCTCAACGAGAGAGTAATTGTTCATACACATCACACAAACCCCCCCCCCCCAGCAGCAAACAGGTGACAAACTTTTCTTTTTAATTTGTGGAGCCACCAGCAGCCGCGGCGCCGCGATTGAGGGACAGTGCCGATGGCAAATCGGCGATAGAGATGGCGTAGACAAGGGTGTGTGGCTTCACCCTTCCACGTCATCCTTCTCTCTTCAAAAAATGCTATGCTTTTGGTTGGTGGTCCCCACTCCCCACTGTGGCCTAACTCTAAGAGGAGTGGTTAGGGCATTGAGGTGCAAGAAAGCTTGGGTGTAGGCCATTCTCTTCGAACTACAATTTCTTAACTCTCTTTAGCCTCTGCATCAGACACTATATATATATATATATATATATAGGGGTAGAGAGGAGAGTTTGTACATCATACATCTTCTACAGTTGTTGTACTAAGAAATGTTTTATATATTAATTTTGGCTAATCAAGCAAAAAAAAAGGGGGAGGGGGGCAAAAAACAGAAAAGAGGGGGCGGGGGGAAAAAAAAAAAAAAAACAAAAATAACACAACAGAGAAATAGCAGAACAAAAAGCAAAGAGGGAGATAAAAAAACAAAATAAAAGCAATAAAAAAAAAAGGGGGAGTAAAAAAGAACAGCAAAGTGAAAGGGTACCAAGGAAAGACCGTCATCGTCTAACCCCTCCCCGTGTCCTCCCCCGGTCACCCAAACCCACTAGGGAATGAAGGGCGCAAACAGGAAAGAACATCAATACCAACGGCGGAAAAAACCAAAAAAGAAACTCCCCCACTTATGCAGCGCAACCCTCCCCGCCGGCCACAATACGCCGGGTACATCCCACTGCGCCCGGTGGGGGCCCCGTAAACAACCACCGAAAGGAAGAAAGGGGAGGGGGGGAGAAAGGAGCAAGAAACCCCAGACGGAAAGAAGAAAAAAGGGGGAAGAAAAAAAGGGGTGGACAGGGCTGGCAAAAGGGGGGCAACCCTAAGATAACAGGAAAGTGCAAGCGAAGAAGACAGGGGGGGAAAGGAAAAAATGAAAATGACTTCAACACAAACGCACAGAGGGGGAGGAAAAAAAAAAAGGACAAAAAGAAAGTCAAAGGAGGGGGGGGGGGGAAAAAAAAAGAAGCCAACAGCCCGCTCCCGGGGAACGCCCCGAAAAAAAAATACCTCTATTGGGTCCTACTTTAAGGCCAATATAACAATCGTCCTACCCTTTGTAAAAAGTTCATGTGGTAAACCCAAATTGTGAAAAATATGTACAATTGACATCATTTTTTAGTACACCGACGTTAAATATATAACACCCAGCTGACAGCGATGAAACTACTAGATATGCAACTATTATATCATAACTGACTACGCATAAGGGGTAACAACAACATGTAAATTTTGTGAGTTAGAGGTTATGGGATTGCAAAATCGCACATTGGGGATTAAGCAATACTATTGGCAAGAACTGCCTTCAAACACCATGGGTTCAATCTTGACAGACATGAAACGGTGATTCTGTAAAAAAATGGATAGATGGCATTTTGAACGAATGCGGAAACAGAATTAGAGA